GACAAAAAAAAAAAAAAAAAAAAAAAAAAAAAAAAAAAAAAAAAAAAAAAAAAAAAAAAAAAACACACATATTTCTTGTCATTTATGTCGGAGCAGATGAATGTCAATGGGTCAATTTTAGCACATTTTTGTAGAGTCATTTCCACCAAATTAATTAATTAATTAATTAACTCAATTTTTTAATTTTAAACTGAAATGATCAATTATTGAGTGTGATGACCAACATTATTAGTCCACTTTTTGGTGAGTTCATAAATCATTAATAAAGTTCTCCAAATCGGTGGTTTTTTAAATTTGTGGGCGGAAGTAATCTGAAATTTTAAGATGGTTGAGTCGATGACTCGTGGGGTTATTTTTTTAATTATTAAAAAAAATCATATTAACCCATTATTAACCTTCGTTACTAAAGTTAAATACTTTTATTATTTATAATATCTTTAGACGAGAGTTGGGTTAGATTGTAACTCGGTATTTCACTTCATTTGATTGACCCAACTGAAAAAATATCCATTCAAGACCAAATTTTTCTGTAAAAAAAAAAAAAAAAAAAAAAAAAAAAAAAAAAAAAAAAAAAAAAAAAAAAAAAAAAAAAAAAAAAAAAAAAAAAAAAAAAAAAAAAAAAAAAAAAAAAAAAAAAAAAAAAAAAAAAAAAAAAAAAAAAAAAAAAAAAACATCAAACCAAAGGATTTTCTCTTTCAAACTAGTAATAATGGGGTTGAAAATTTTTCCATTTTATTTTTCTCCACGTATTGAATATTTCAAAGGTACAATCCACGTGTAATTTGTCCAATATTTAGAAATTATTTAAAATTTTGAACAATAAATCAATAATATAATTATTTATAATTTTACTATATAATTTACTTTCACATAAAATTATTAATTTATTTTTAATGTCTAAAATATAGAATGAAATAAACAAATAATTTTCGTTCACAAATTAAATTATTTAAGAAATTTAAGTCTATATTTAATATATTTATTAATACGAAACTCGACAGTTAAATTAAATGTATATTTAAAATTAAAAAGGTAATATTAAAAATGAATAATGAGAGGAAGGGAGTTTCTTTGCTTCTTCCTTAACAAATCAATATTAATATAAGATTTTAATTAATTAATTCAATTTCATGGGGCCCCACCAAGTCCTTTTCGAAAAAATATATATATATATAATATAATCTTAATTAATTTCATATTTTTATAAAGTAAATAATGTTAATTTCTCTACTAATATATTAATTTAATTAATAATATTAGAAAAATAGTTGTAAGTTTCCAAGGTATTGCCTTCTGGAAATCAACTTTTTGACTAAGGAAAAGGTCGTTTACTTACTGCCCAAGTCTTCCTTGGGAGAATCAATTACGCTTTTCTTTTTTAATGCGTATTAAATATATTTTATTTGAGCTGGCAAAATGTGACACGTCATAATTTTCAATTTATTTTTTATGGACTGAAGGGACATAATATTCAAAGTAAAAAATAATAATTAAAAAAATTACATTATTGTTCTTGGTCAAAGTTAACAACTCAATATTCTCCATTAGTTCATACTTCTAATGTCAATTACTTACTTTATGATTTTAAATAACTAAATATTTTTATTTATTGCATTTCTTTTAAGAGTTTAAAGTTAGACAGTAATTTTTTATTTTCATTTTTTTAAATTTAATAATATGTGAAAGTGAAATTTCGAAGTAAAACCAATGTGAGTTTTAAGGCTAACGTCTTTGTTGGCATACTGTCTGATGTCTAGCTCTGATACTATTTGTAACAGTAATCTAATACTGTTTGTAACAGCCCCAAGCTAGAGGGTCAGCGTCCTCTCTGGCATACCACTCGCTATTCAGCTCTAATACCATTTGTAACAATTCAAGCCTTTTGTTAATAGATATTGTCCATTTTGACATATTACGTATTGTTGTCAGCCTCACGATTTTAAAATGATAAGATCGATAAAGGTTTTTATACTCTTATAAAAAATGTTTCTTTACTTTTTCGAGCACCGTGAGATCTTACATTTTGATAAAATTGGAGAGAATTAAAGAGTAACCGTGTTTTTGTATTTTCATTTATTTTAAATTTAAAAAATAATGGTGGTGATAGAAAATATTTGGAAAAATACACGTTTAATTGTTTTTTTTTACCAATGAAAAAAAAGAAAAAACAAAAACAAAAAACATGAAGCTAAGTAAAATAAATAAATAAATAAACGCTGTCCCACAATGCCATGTCATAAAATCTTGCGATTACAAATCGATCTGACGAGTCCCACAGCGCCACGTAGGAACAGTGGCCGTCACCGACGACTAGCCACTTGTAGCGGAAAGAGACGACACGTCCGCACACGTCCAACGCTGACATGGAGGGCCCCACGAAGCGACAACGTGGCCCCGTCAGCGTCGTCACGCGCTTTGTACGCAATAGCTGTAAGCCACGTATTTGTTGTATCATAGCGCTCTTTCCTATACTGGGCCCCACGCACGATGAATTTTGACCTTTTTTCTCCTCTTTTTAAATAATAATTAACAATACTAAATAAAAACTCCGCCACTTTCTGGTTTTTTTCCGTTGTTTTATTTTATTAAAAAAAAATAAACAGAATTTAGACGTAGAAACAACCGAAATTCCCTCACTTGACATGTGTTAAATATTAAATTATATATTTCCACTCCTTAAATTTAATTTTTTTTAAAAAAATATTTTTAAAAATTTAAAAGTTCAATTATTTCTATTTACATGTATTATTAAGAAGAAAAAAAAAAAAAGAATCCTCCGGGAGGTGCGTGATTACCACGCGCCACGTTAGCGCGTGAAGTTTGTTTGATTTAAGAGAGGCTGTTGCCGGATTCAACAGCCACGCTTAGACCATCGGAAACAGGAGGTGTATAAATAACCACAAGCTACCTGAATCTCTTCTCCCTCGCTTCTTCGGCATCAAGATTTTTCCCTCCCTGTTTTCGCTTCATTATCGTTCTTGATTTTTCCTGCATTTCGCGATCCTTTTCAACCTCTTTCAGGTTCTTCCCCTTTCTCCTCTCTCTCTTTATTTCCCTTCTTTGAATTTCTCTCTTATTTACAGTCGTTTTCTGTTTCTAATACCCGCCGGCGTAAAATTTGGCGCTCAAAACCATAACGTTTGGTGGGGTTTTCACGTTTATGTTGCTAGGTTTTCCGTCTGTGTTTTGAACACTTTTCCCCTTTAATCCATGTTTCTATGGCTTCTTTAAAGTGGAAAATCACTCGATTACTTTCCTTCCCTCTTTCGGTTAATTCTATTTGATTAGTTATTGGTGTTGCTGCTGCATTTCGGTTTCGTTTCAATTTTCCCATTAGAACTCTTCATTTGTTTCTTAAAAATCTTCTGTTCATCGGGGTTTTAACTTTTTGACGACGCAATATTTGATATTAACCGAACATTGGGTTTCCAAATGTTCGCGGATTTGATGGGTTTTCATTGATGCGTCTGTTTTACGTGTTTGGCTTTGAGGATTTTAGGTGTGTGAATGAATTCTGGAGTTGACTTTGCTTGTCGTGGTGCAATTTGGTGGGTTTATGGAATTGAAATAGGTTTTTTCTCTTTGGGGTTTATGCAATTTGGAATCTCTACATAATTTCCTGAGGAGTTCATTTCATATACAGTTGATTGACAGCCCTTATGTTTGTTTCTGTACTGACCTACTGGGTTACTTTCTTTTGTCCTTTTCTTCTATGGTGTTTCCTCTAATATGATTGATTGGTTCCTTTTTTTTCCCATCCGCAAAATCAGATTGGTTTGCCTTTCTGTTTCTAATATTAAATTGATGGGACATTTACTTGTTGTCGTCACATTTGATATTTGATATTTGATATGATATAATAATAATCTAGCTCGAATTTTCACCCCTTTTTCAATTGGGTTCTTAGATTATGAACTGTAAAAGCCACGTTTCTGCTTGATGGTTGGTTGCATTTATTGCCCATTCATTGAAACAGCATCTAAAATCTTGTTTTTAGTATTTTACTGATTCTATGGCCTTCGGGAAAGTGAATCTTCATTTGTTTGTCCATTTGTTTATTTCTTCGCATGCTCCTATGTAGGCCCATGATGCGTGGTTGCATATGGTGGTGTTTCCTCTTTACTGTGTGGCAGTGGTGGCCTTTTGTATACTCTTTTTAAGCTCTTCTATGAGTTCTGCCTCTTCAGAACCTGTTTTGTTACACTCTTTTTAGTGTTCTACGTTAGTATTGAAACTGGTTCTTTTCTTTTATCTTGTTTTCTCCAGTTTTAGATCTGCTTTCCTATCACTGTTTAAATTTGTCGGTTTAGTGATGTTTTCTTCTGAGATGTTGTGATTATTTGATCGAATTTTGTGGCTCAGAAGCTCCAGTTTGTAAAGCTTTAAGATATCTAGAACTTTGCATGCCTATTCATGATGGAGTTTGATTTGGTTTTATGCACTTGTACGGCCGCTTGAAATCTTACTGTTCTTCTCTGTTATATTATAGAAGCAGAGTACTCTGTTCCAACAAATCATGAGATCATATTTATTTTCCCAAAGCTTTACACTTAACTGTATGAACTCAACTTTTCAGGTGGTTCCATCTCTCAGTTTGTAAGGAGGACATAAGTGCACTTGGGCTTTGAATCAACCTCCAAAACTTGACCAAATGGATCTTAAACCAAACCATAATTCTCCCATTCTCTCTGACCCTGCGCCTATCACCAAGTCTAGACTTGGTGTACATTCGAATATGTTGCCATACTCTGCTGCTCCAGGAGTTGGGTTCGCTCCGAATTTGCTACTAATCACGAGGAAAAGGACCGGTGTGCTCGATGACGTTCGAGCAAGCATCTGGCTAGATGCTATGAAATCTTCATCTCCTCCTCCTAATAGGATTGCCAAGGATGTTGTCAATGAGCTTCCATCGTTTGATCCAGATCTTCTCTATTGCAGTTGGATGGTACTGTTTCTTTTACTGTCATGTTCTGATGTAGGATAAGTTTTATTGATCTTGGATGAGTTTTTTATGTACAATATGCCCCTTTGTTACTTTCAGGTTAAGTATCCATCGGCACTTGCGTCGTTCGACCAAATCGTAACTCAGGCGAAAGGAAAAAGAATAGCATTGTTTCTGGACTATGATGGGACTCTTTCTCCAATTGTAGACAACCCTGATTGTGCATTCATGTCTGATGCTGTAAGAATCTGTAATTCCTTGTAAATAAGTTGCTTAGAATAACTCCATCTTAGCTACTAACCTTGACTAACCTCTCTGCAAATCTCTTAGATGCGTGTGGCTGTAAAAGAGGCTGCAAAACATTTCCCGACTGCTATAATTAGTGGAAGAAGTCGTGACAAGGTATGATGCTTCATATATTACACAAATATTTGCCAATGAATCCGACTCGTTGATGTGGTCGTAAGTTTCGAGTTCCCTTGTTTTTGTTTGTTCAGGTTTACGAATTTATTGGACTAAATGAACTCTCCTATGCTGGTAGTCATGGAATGGACATTATGGTCTCTGATAAACACTCAACTAACGATCAGGTAACGAAATGGGAGTTGTTGTCGTTTTATCGACCGATATCTAAATCTTTCTCGTTTGGATGTTACTTTGACAGTGCTCTTACATACATTCCTTTCATTACATAGGGCAAGGAAGTTATGTTCCAGCCTGCTAGTGAATTTTTACCTTTGATCGATGAGGTACGAACCGACTTTTGGCGTACTAACATATATTCATATCGTGTTCGAGCATTTGAATGAAGAAAGTTCTCTTGTTTGGACAGGTTTACGAATCCCTGATTGAAATCGCCAAGGGAATTGCTGGAGCAAAAGTTGAAAACAATAAGTTCTGTGTGTCTGTTCATTACAGGAACGTAGATGATAAGGTACCTCCCTCTCAGATTGTCAATGGAGAATATGAATATTGAACGAATTTCATTTGATTGCTTTCTTCTCTCTAGGACTGGAATGCTCTTGCAAATCGTGTTTACGACCTTTTGGAAAACTACCCTCGACTGCGCGTTAGTCACGGTCGTAAGGTACTTCGATATCATTAATGAAGGCTCAATCAAATTGTCATTAGATACTAACTTTTCCAAAGAACAATCTTCAATCTTGCTTGTATGTGTCTGATCGTCCTGTTTTGAATTCATAGGTTTTAGAAGTACGACCTGTGATTAGCTGGGACAAGGGCAAAGCTGTTACGTTCTTGCTTGAATCTCTTGGTAAGAAACACAATGTCCACAACCCTGGTTCCCATTTAAGAACATTCTTGCACATGTTGTTTAACCTCTTCAAACTGTACTCCAGGACTTAGCAACTGCGATGACGTGCTCCCAATCTACGTCGGAGATGACCGAACTGACGAAGATGCCTTCAGGGTAAGTTTATCATCTCATTAATTCCAGCACCCTTAATCTCTCCTCTGAGAAGCTCAATCTTAAGAAATGAAGCGACTTGAATTACAGGTCCTGAAAGAACGAAATTGTGGCTATGGCATATTAGTCTCTTCAGTGCCAAAGGAAAGCAGTGCAGCCTCATACTCTTTGAGAGAACCATCTGAGGTACAGACTCTTTATATACTCAACCCGAACACCGCTCGAGACTGGGGAGATTCTATAACAGGATCATGAACCCAGTTTCGATTACCGTGTCATGCTTTTAGTACCATTATCTCCTGCATTCGAGTCGTTTCTTCGAGGTGTGGTTTGAATCTGATTAGAGTTAGGATGTGATATGGAAAATGCAGGTGATGGAATTTCTGAAGTCATTGGTAACATGGAGGGCGTTGGAAGAGGGATTGAACGAATAGCAGAAATTGATATAACAATGGTATAGAGATAAGTATAGGGAAGGAAGGAAGGAAGGAAGGAGGGGAAGGTGAAGGAGGAGAGGAGAGGGGGTATTATTTTTGGAGCAGAGAATTACAGAGAAGAGGCAGGATTTGTGAGAGTTGCCCGTTTGTTGTTCCTCTGCTGAAAGGTGTTCCTTATTATTGTGTTGTTGTTCATCATTTTGTAAAGTCAAAGTTGGTGCAATTTAATTAATTACTTTACTTTTCCACTGTTTTTGTTGAAGCTGATGAACACAAAGCAATCTTTATTCTTTTATCTGTTTTTAGACCCTTACTTTGTAGATTATAATGTTTAACTCAGCAATGCAAATCATTTGTTTCCTTTCTGCTATTACAGCATCGTGTCGTGTCGGGTGTGAGGATTATTGCTTTTGGCCTATTGGTCGAGGACATATACTTCAAACATTTGAGCTAAATTCAAGTTGACTTTGATAAGCAAATAACAAGAGAGCATATAACGCATCCATGTGCTCATTTGAGAGAGCGCTTACCATTTCTTGAAGCAACCTACCATATGATTAAATATTTTACTATAATGTTATGAAATTAATAGCATAGGATAATCGAAAGATAATTAGGGTTTCCAACATATATGTTTAAATTAAATGAGTTGGACAATAATTTAATCCGAGGCCATCGCTAGTAGATATTGTTCACTTTGGCCCATCACATATCGTCGTCAGTTTCATGGTTTTAAAATGGTCTTTTAGGGAGAAGTTTCCACACACCCTTAAAGGAATGCCTTGTTTTCCTTTTCAATCGAGGTAAAATATAACAATCCACCTTCTTGGTGGCCAATGTCCTCCTAGCGAACTGTCCGGTGTTTGGCTTTGTTATCATTTGTAACAGCTCGAGGCCACCTCTAGTAGATATTGTCCGCTTTGACTCGTTACGTATTGTCATCAGCCTCACTACCAGAGAGAAATTTCCACACCCTTATAAGGAAATATTGCTTCCCTCTCCAATCGACGTGAGATCTAATAAGGTATGTGTAAAAAGTTTTTAGGGTTAATTTAGAAAAGAAGTAATAAGTAAACATGATTAACGAAGGATTTACAACATAATAACATTCACATGGACAAGTTTCAGTGTCGGTATGTTTTAGTAAGCAAAAGTCCCATAATCTTTTGTCTTGCTTGCCTCACAAACAACCTTTTTTTTTTGTCATTAATGAACAAAATCTCTTGATAATAGATTTGCATGTTCTTTCTTCTTCTTCTTCTTCACAAGTTGAGCTTGTGTGTGTAAAAATGTCAAACCCTAGGATTCCTCTGTCTCAATCATTTCACATAATTATGTCTGTGTTTTTATGTCTTTGCAAGACACACACACAATGGGACTATATAGCCAACCCTTATGCTCAGTTGAGTTCATTTTTCTCCTCCTTCCTTTCACTTCCATGCCCAACCTCTCTCCCCGTCTTCTCGCCCTGACCGGTTCGGTTTCTGTGTCGGGTTTTCGTTTTGTGAAGACCCCGAGTATATATCTTCATATTTCTACTTGTCTATTTTAGATTAACAGACTGTCGCCTATTTCATTGGAAACCCTTTGTCCTACACGTTCATACAATTCTTCATAAGCCCGTGTCGTATTAACGCTTAGAACGACTATATATTCATGCTTTCTTCTTTTTCGACCCTATGATTTCGTGGTTGGTAGTGTATATGATGCATATTGAATGGCCTCCCACAGGTACACAATTGCTTGATCAATAAGATTAACACTATTTGTACGTACCATAATTGCTTAAATTTTAAGGGAACCCAAAGTTCTTTTAAACTTCACTACAAAGCCTTCATCAATGTTTATTATTATTATTATTACCATCTTCCACTTTTGCTCCCTTCTAACCCTAAAGGAACACAGGTTTCTAACCCCATAATTAATAACATTTTTTAATTTTATTTCACCAAAACTCATTTAATACAATTTTTTTTATTATAACTTTTATTTTATAATTATTGAATTATTGAATTATTTCACCAACATTTTTAATTTCATTTTAGGACATTGAAATCATTACATAAACGAGATAGTAAATGAACCGAATAAAGAACGTATTTTTGAGTTCGATAACATCTGGGGTGGTGGATTCAAACTCCCGATCTTGTCGAGGCTACATGTAACAACTCAAGTCCACCGCTAGCAGATATTATCTGTTTTGACCTGTTACATATCATCGTCAGCCTGAAGGTTTTAAAACGCATTTATTAGAGAGAGGTTTCTACACTCTCATAAATATTTTGTTCCTCTCTCCGACCAATGTGGGATCTTACAATCCACCTCCCTTGAGAGCCCAGTGTCTCGCTTGCTAACACACCACCTTATGACTAGCTCTAATACCATTCACTGCTAATAAATATTGTCCGTTTTTTGCCCGTTACATATCGCTGTCAGCCTCATGGTTTTAAAACTCGTCTACTAGAGAGAGGTTCCCACACCCTCATAAGGAATGATTCGTTCTCTTCTCCATCCAGTGTAGGATCTCACAATACATATGTCAAGCAAGTCATAAACTATATGAAATTAACCGACGCGAAAGGCTACGTATATATTGTATATTATACGAATGGTATAACAATAACAATAAGTCTTTATTATATATATGTACAGAAATATTGATAAAAATGACTTCAAATTTGACCCTTTTGAACACTAAGAACATTCTATTAATTATTTATATGTATAATATGAAGTAAGCATTATAAAAATCAAGAGAAAAAAAGAGGTAATTTCACTTCCACAGCTCAATCTGACAAGAAGTTGAAGTGGATGTTGGAGCATTTTCTGGGACTATAAGTTCTTGCTTGGAAGCATTCTCTTGGCTGAGCTGAGAAGCAACATACTTATCAAACACACGCCAATCCGTGAGCTGATCCGCTGTTTGTTCATTATTATTGTTGTTGTTGTCGAACAGAAACAGCAAGTTTTGGTCGGAAAGTTGCTGTTTTGGGGGCGACGGTTGGTAGTTGGAGGCTGATTGAACCAATTTTTGGCTCTCTAAAAGTGGTAAGTGAAGGAAATGTTGTTGGGGTTGGTAATTAGTCAAATCCATCTCCTTTTTGCATGGGAAGTAATTCGAAAGATGTTGAGGGAAACTTGGCGAGTCGAGGTCGGGCATAATTGCCGCCACGGGCTCGTCGTACCAACACGGCGATTCGTGCTCGTTCATTCTCCGATTAACCGTGGCTATTCTCTTCTTGAAAACCCTACACACCACCCATCCTTCTTGCTGTAAACAACAAAGGATGTTGTTAATATCAATACAATCAATTCAACCTTAAAAATTCGTATTAACTCGCCTGTGGAGCGCCGTTTTCGTCGGTTTCGAGTCGGTACTCATGCATGATCCAATCAGACTTTTGGCCATTTGGGGCTCGACCTTTGTAATAAACCAAGGTCTTTCTCATACCAATCAAGTCATGCTTAGAGTAAATGGTCTTGTCTCGGCCAGTTGCTTTCCAAAACCCAGCGGCTGTTGCCCTATTGGTTCGAGTACCTGTAGGATATTTCTTGTCTTTGTGGCTGAAAAAGTACCATTCATTTTGATCCTCTGCCCCCAGATTACATATCTCTATTATATATTGAGTATCAAGTTTAGAAGCTCATATAACAACACAATCATGTTCATGTTCATGTTCATGTTCATATAATTATTTATTGATAATACCTTGGAGATCCCATGGTTCAATCTTGTAAAGATCTACATCTTTAATCACATCCAAATCAATCCTCCTTGAAGAAATCTTCTTTCTAAGATAATAATCCACAAGTTCTTCATCTGTTGGATGGAATCTAAATCCAGGAGGAACATCTAAGAATGTGTTCATTGTTTGATGTTAGCCCTGAAAATCATCAAATTTTGCCTAATGGGTATCAAATTCATATCAATGTGTATCAAAATCAATCTTTTCAGTCATATCAAGCGATATCATTAAAGTAAATGGTAATCATGGAAACTCATCTTATTGCTTAAAAAAAAAAGAAAAAAAAATTAGGGTCTTGATTTTTGTTGTCTCCCAATCAATCATTCAAAATCTTTCTAAGAATCTTCTCTAAGATACATTTAGAACAGATGCAATAAGAAACAAGAAAAAAATTCAACTTTAATTGACTTTTTTGTGGCACAAAAAAGTCAAATCACATGGATTTTGAGAAAATTTGTTGAAAATAAATGATACCCAGAAGAGGAAAAGTGATTTAAAGGCAACCCAGTTCATAAGATTTAGAAAAGAGAACTCACAAGAAGAAAAGTTTGAATCTTTGTTGCAGAGGAGGAAGAAGAAGATAACCCTAGCTTTGGTTTCTGCAATGAGAGACAGAATTTGTTAAGAACAAGAAGAAAAGACAGACAGTTATGCTGTGGGGAGGATTTGAACTCAGGTGGGAGCTGGGGTTGTCGGAGCAGATATGTCTGAGAAGAGTTAGGGTTATATAGAGAGTGATTGAAGAAGGGTTTGGTTTTGAGAAGAGAGCTGAAAGAGACCCAACTGTGTGAGAGAGAGAGAGAGACAAGTTCATGGCACAAACCCAATGTCCTTTCTTTATAAAGCCACCTTCTTTTCTTTGGCTATGACGTAATGGAACAGCCACCTCCCTTCCACCCACAAAGTTGTTTAGTTTATCCACGAAATTATCGTTCGGGTTCGAGAAAAAAATGAAGAGGCGTTCATACGATTCGATGACCTGAACAATTTGGATGACTCAACCCTAAACTATAAGAGTTGAGTTGAGTTAGATTTTCCTTTTTCGATTAGGTTGTGTTGAATTCTTGGAAGACCGAAAATTCAGTATGGTTTGAGTCAACTTGAATAATTCAAGAATAGGATTCACAACTGATGTCAATAATGTGTCGTGACTTGACTTATGAAGGTTTGATATTTGAGTTTTATGAAATTTCAATGGATAACTAGGATTTTTTAAATAGTGGCCTCTAATCAGAAAATAGAGAGTTGGGCTCGGCTGTGAATCCTGTGAGAATCATTCGGATCATTGACCCTTGATCTAAAAAATTTATCGAACCCAATCCGTGTGTAACCCTAATTAAAACTCGAACGTTTTTGCTTGTTAAATCAGGCATGTGCTATCTTTTTTGAGGTAGATCTCTGTGGATGTGGATGGGTGGGCCGGAATGTTGATTTTCGTAGTCCCTACCATTTTGTTGTTGGAGTCTAAGCTGCAATGAAGCTGAAATGGTGTGATGATGATGGCGGTGGTGAGGGAGAGATCAGTGGCTTCATTGCCATTGCTGTTCTCTGCTGCTATCAAATGGGGTATTATAAGATGACCTCGTTTCTTATTAACGTTTTAAAATTATCATTGTAGTAGAAATCTGTTAGAATATTAGACGAAAAGTCACCGTTATCTTCTTTTTCTTCTGGTCTCTCTGCCGTCACCATCTTCTTTCTTCGTTGTCTCATTCTTTGATGCTAAGTATTTCTCTCTCGATGAATCATGAACAATGTGATGGGATGTGAATGAATGTATTCGTGCATTCATATCACAAGTTGATATTCTCACCCAAGAAATATTTTCTAGGCCGGATCATGTTAATAATCTAATAAGACCTTACGCGTTCGTATGCTCATAAAAGTCATGAAATGTTAAACAACATAAAAGTGAAGCATTTCCAGAAGCTCTACATGCGTGAAAGTGATGAATGTCGTAGTGAGCCATAGGGTGCATGAAAATGATGTTCACCCGGTGGTTTTGATGTCATGAAAGTGGTGTAAATGAAATTATGTGTATAAGAACTGAAACTCAACACGAAGTTTTAGATTTACTTTAATCATGTTAGTCTGAGTCATGATTGCATGTGTATGCATTTTTCGATCTATAATTTTAAATAAAAGTCTAATTTACGACCAAATTTTTTATCTTTTAGTTATTTATAATGTCGAGAAAATATTTATTGAGAAGAAAAAAATTGATTTGAATGGCAATGAACAAATAATAAAGAAAATGTATGGTAAATAAGGATGAAAGTACAAAACGGGCTTTTGGGTAGCGTGGGGTAGCGATCCAATGAGAGCGGTCCCACCGTACAAATAATGAGGGCTATAAGCATCATGAGTTTCCGTGCCCGACATTTCGGGCGGCATTTTTCTGTCTAGATGCCAGGTGGCATCTTCTGAATGGCTACCAATAATACCCTTAGAACCCACCATGACATCACATGTTTTCCGACCAACAATCATCATTTTTCTTATACAATTTTCATTAAATTAATTTAACCAAAATAAAACTATATTCTAATAATATTTTCATTTATATGAGAAATTATTTGATACGCTTTTACCTAATTTGTTATATACTAAACAAAAAAAATTATATATATTCTAATAAAATATTAACAAATACTCCTTAGAAAAGTCTTCCGGTCATTCTTCTAGCTATACACAATCTTGTAAGACAATAATCAAACCTGTAAATTGGGTTAAAATAACTAATAATGAGGTAATTATTTAGACGGGTGGACGAACTATTTATATGAAAATCTCATGACATTATAAAATATCGCAACTATAAGACTAACATGGGTAGAAAATAAACTTAATTGTACTTAGGTAATTATTTTAAGTACGGAAGATCTTGAATATTAAATTATATTATGATACATAAATATAGAAAAATGACGTGATAGGAGTATTTTGAGAATAATGAAAATGGTTGGAGTATAAATATGGGAAGGTATGTATTATGAGTGTAGAATACTCAAACCAAGAGTATAATATACGGTGATAGGACTTTTTTTATTTTTAAAGAAAATCATATTAAAACTTTATATTAAAATATTCTCTCAAAATAATATATATATATATATATATATATATAATTAATCATTTTAAAGATTTTATATTTGATAGGATTAAATTTTTTAATTATATTTATAGTATTTAAAAAATCATGGACTATAATTTATTTTCTTGAGTTCAAAAATTTAAATTTTCACATCAAAATTTTTGTGAGATCAGACGTCATAAATTAAATTAAAATTTATAGATAAAATAAAAAAAAAAGTCACTTTTGAAGTAATTAGTGAATTTAATTAAGTTAATCTTAGAAGGATTAATGATTACATTTTGGTTTATGGGTGGCGTTCAAAATCATAATACCAATTATAATTGCGATTATATGAATCATAATCCAAAGTGCTTATATCTAAAATCACTGGAAAATTACATAATTAATTTTGCATAATTATGGATTTTTTTTTTTTTGAAGATGTAATTCTCTGTTTATGATGTCAATAATGCTATTAATTACGACATGACAATATAATGATTATGGGTGTTGTATGTAGTCCCACATCGATCGTTTTAGATTTAGGGAGAAGGTTGTCGTATAAGTAGTCAGTCACTAGAAACTTGAACCCAGCAGGTGTGGCATTTTGTATTGTCATTTTAGTGCTTTATGCGAGCCGGAAAATTTGGATTACTTCCACAAAATGGTATGCCTTTGCTCTTTTACTTATAATTCCTTAATTAAATGTCTTTGCAGCAGGGAGTGTTTTTCGATCCTGATAAGAGTTTTTGTTTGACCATGATTAATGGGTATGTTAAAAATGGAAGACTTTTTTGATGCCCGTGAACTGTTTGATAAAATGCTTGAGAATTCTATTCCACCAAGAATTCTGTTAAAGTGGCTTTGTCCGTGTTAATCTTTAGTTTATTGTTAAGAATGAAAAGCTCTGATATCATGTCGAGAATGAACTCTAATATCATGTCGAGAATGAGAAACACGAGTAGGATTGAAAGTTTAAGAAACATAAGTAAAATTTAAAGTTCAAGAAACATAACTAGGATCGAAAGTTCAAAAAACATAAGTGGGATCGAAAGTTTAAAAAATATCAGTGAAATTTTGATTAATGTGCACAATTGAATGCAAACTATAAACTAAATTTTTTATAAACTAAATCTTTTCTAAAAATCCTAAACTGATAGGATGATTAGGGATGTATGAATGTAAATTATCATGTGGTATTTGAGCTTGAATGATGATTTCTTAACACTGCATAAAGATTAAACAATTCCATGATTTGGGTACATTTATTTCAGAGGAAGAATGAAAATTTTGTTCTTCTAGATTCCAGGAATGAATGGGACCTCTGTGCCTGGCAGCCATGACTGCCCTGAAATGAAATTTTGGACAGAGAACTCCGATGCCTCTGTTGAATTGCTTATAACATGGTAACCTTTCCACTGCACTCTCTGGTCTGTTGATGAACGAGGGCCAATGTTCTTATACTCTCCATAGTATAAAGTATTCAATGCAAAATCACCATTCCATTCCAACCAACCTGCTGGATCAACCAAAGTATCGAGGTAAGTTTTAATGAAAACTGTTCGAGAGTACTCCTTCCACGGCCTTCCCAAGAAGGTTTTCACTGTGCTCTCCACTTGTTTCAGGTCATCTGTGGCCATGACCCGTGAGTTATGGATTGAAATGCCTGTATTTTGATTTGGATCAGTCCTTCCTTGAGCAGTAACTGCATTCTTTTGACCATTCATTGGTTTCCTTGCGTAAATCATGCAGTTCTGTAGAACCACTGCAGCATTTCCGAATATGAAATCTACAGTCCCGTAAATATAACACTCTTTATAGAATTGTCTTTGTGAATGGACATAGAGGGTGTCCTGATACCCTTCAAAGGCACAGCGGTAGAAGACGGAACGATCTGCACCGGACCGGAGAGCAACTGCTTGATGGTTTTCGGGACCGGCCGTGTTTCGGAATGTGATGCCTTGAGCTATAAATCCTTCTCCGGTCACCGCTGAATGTCACAAAATACAACTATCTGATTAATCATATAATCATATAAACCATCACGAGAGCTTATGCTCAAAGTGGACAATATCATATCATTATGTATCATATCATTATGGAGAATCGTAGTTTTTTAAAGAAACTTACCAACGGTAGCAGAATTGAAAGTGGTGGAGCCTCCTCCAACGCTTCTACTACCTGTAATGAAGGTAAATCTCATTCCATCTCCGACTAGCATTATATTCTTCATCTTATTTCCTATCTCGAGGTTTTCTTCATAAACCCCTCTCTTTACTTGTATAACGAATCTCCCATCTGTCCTCCTTTTTGCAGCTTCCTCTAGTGCAGCTGCAACTGTCTTATGGTCACCGGATCCATCCTGAGCCACCACAAGGTCCACCATCATTGAAGATGACTGCAGCAGCTTCCTATCACCACCTGAAAGCCAACTTGGAAAGCCCTGTTTATACGTCTCTTTCCCCTGCCAAGTTGAAGCATTGTTAACCGCCAAGCTGTTGCTTATCAGCTGTGTGACATTGTTTGACGTGATCAGCGGCAATACATTGTCCACAACATTCAGCTCAGCAAACCCAGTGCGGCACGTTTCAACGTTGGTAAGGGCGGTACTAAGCCAGGTTTGGATATCAAATTCAGTAGACTTAGCAGAGGAATCTAGAGTGCGTTCGAGCTGAAAGATGGTGTTTTGGTAGAGCTTC